CTACACATATCAATCTTATGGATATTTTGTAGGTATATAATTGCTAACTTGTCAATGGAGCAAACCTTCTGAACAAATATTTTATCACTCTTCTGGAGTTCATGTGGATCAAGGTATTTTATATCATGAAAAACTATATACATTTTTATCTGTAACAAGTATGATGACTTCATGCCAAAAAGCATCAATACGAGTATTTGTACCTTGATTTACTATTCGTTATCTTATCTCATAACTTAACATCATCAAGCTCTTTATATATTTCATTGATGTTTACATAAATATTGACTGAGATGATAAATAAGTCCATTATCAACTCTTTATTGAGCACATAATGGTACATATTATTCCTTCTATATGAGGATAATAACCCCATTCGCAACTCTCTAAAAAGTAAATAATGGCACTTAAATAAATCCTCATTTCGGAAATTATAAATCCATTAGGGATTTTCAAGATAAACTAGAGGATATATTTAGGATATTTTCAAGAGGAAACGATATTTGAGTTTCCCAATCACATATAACATTACTAGGCATGTTTATGATAATATATTTTCATAATTTGTTATGGGGGAGAAAATACCTTTGGTCAATTTATTGACTATAAGAAAGATCATAGTTAGTAACTTACTAACTTTTATACTTTTTATTTTGTGATTTTCATTCATCACATTTTGAGAAAATCCATCAAGGATTTTAAATATAAGTAACAAGTTACCCATATAAATATGTGATAACTATAACTATTAGCTACATATCTAATTCATTTACTGCTAGTTTTATTGAATAGCGGAATATAAAGTCATGACTAATATTGGGTCTCTGCAAAAATCCTCCACTCGCCTTAATTTATTAGCGAATTCTGATTTGTATGCCTTAATTGCTATTTTCTATGAAAACAGTTAGCACGCTGCAGGCGTTATACTACTATTTTCATTTCTGGATCCAGATTTAAGTATTTATGAGCAATAGAGGCAAAAAATGTTGTCGACAACTATAACAGCTTTGTAAATATCTTTTATACACATGGCAATTTTGTATCAACTAAATATATGGCATTTCCCAAAAGTATTTGAATTTGGTTGTTTCGCTTCCCCAGTATTTTAGTTATTTGGTGCACCTACAATTTTACTGGGGATTTTCGCCTTCTAGATGAATATCTTCAGGATAAAGTTTCTATATTTCTGGAGTGACGAAATTTCTATACTAGATCTAGTTTTGTAAATTCTTAAATCAATATATGCTTCTGGTATAATTGTAGAGATTTTTAGTCCTAGTTGGGGATTTCAACTCTTAAAATATTTTCTATGGACTTAGTCACTCATTGAGATTTCTAGCAGATAATTTGTTCCATGACTGAACTTCTGGTTCTATAAGGCTAGTACATGGGTTTGAAGATTTTTATCAATTTCTTGACATTTAATTAATTATAAATTTCAAATCTCCCCCTAATGCCGAGAAAAGATCTTATAATGCAACCAACATCACGGTTGATTTTTCATGATGGGATATAGCTAGAAGGGTTGCATATTAAAAAAATGAACGCAGATAGGGAAATGCATCATGTACTAGCGTTGATATGTAGTGGATCATCATATTGGTTTTTCAATTTTGACGGTCCCCAAAAAAAAGACATATTTCCTCCAGAATTGCTTAACTTGCCTTCCGAACAAACCTCTATTATATCCGAGAGCTTTGGTTTAGTAGAGATTCAGCTAACACCAGTGTTATCCATCCTTATATACCTAAAAAGAGGGTGGTGTGGAAAAGAAGACAAGGTCTCGGCAAGCAAATTCGTGCCAGAGACTTAGGGGGCGTTTGGTTCGGGTTATATAGGATAACTAGGGTTATATTGGGTTAGTTATCTAACATTCCTATGTTTGGTTGGAGTTATATAACATTCCCTTGGAATCAAATATTGCCTCCACATCAGATTTTTCCTTGTTTGTGAGGGAATGTGATTCCCTTGTTCATCTTAGGTAATGTTAGATTCCCTTGCCATTTTACCTTCTTTGCCCTTCATGTTTGCAAGGTGATTTGTAATATGAGGGTATTAAGGTAAAATAACCATTATAACATAAACAACAAATCATCAACCAAACAGGTTTATATTACATAACTCAATTTTTACCAAACACAGGAATCTAACATTCCCGGTAATCTAACATTCCCAACAATCTAACATTCCCTAAGGTAATCTAACATTCCGTGAACCAAACGCCCCCTTAAAGTTTAGATGAGACGCAAGTTTGCGTATAGTTGATTTAGAATCAGTCATTTGACTTGAAGTTTTGAAAGATCAAATATAAGGCAGTTAAATGGTGATTTTAGAAAGGACTATTAAATTATCCTTCAGGAACTTTGATAAGGTATAAGGGCCCGTTGCAGGAAGGTATTTAGAATTCTCTTTTTTGAATGTTATTTAGAATTCTTTAATGTGTCTTTTACTTTGACACAAACGAGAAATAATATGCAAAATCATTCCTTAATGCTAAATCCTTCTTAACGACACTAAGGCATATTTAAACATGCTATTTTATAGGCATATTCATTAGCAATAAATTGAATATACAAAGCACAATATGATTAAGCATAATATTGAACTTAATAGCTCATGTATCATAAATAAATTGCAAAACTTAAACAATTTAGTATGAGCATATATATTAAATTAAAATTCAACTGAACAAGCTAAAATAATCAAGGAGTTCAAATTGAATTATAATTTAATCGAATTTTCTTGATGCATAGGCTCAAAAACCTCAAACATTAATAGGCCTAGAAATTAAAGTCAGTCCAAAATACTTTAAATGAGTCAAAGGGGCCAATTTAATTTGTTTTGTTTTGTTGACCGAATTAGGTCAGTCCAGGCCCAACAAAAACAATCAATCTCTTTTGATCCTTCAAAGAGCCCAAAAATAGGTCCAAAAACGCACTTTTTTTTTAACAGACTGGGCCAACACTCCCAAAGCTTGGGTTTACCAAATAAAATAAAGGTTTAAACCCTAGAAGTTTCCATCAGCATTTACGCGCAGCCAGACAAGAGAGAGAGGGAGACCCGTAGATAGGGGTGTGCAGAATCCGAGAAAACCGACCCACCCGCCTGACCCGATAACCGACGGGTGAGCCCGTAGAGCGGGCCGTATCCGAAGACCACGCCCGACTCGAATGCACGGTATAAGACGGATGAAGAGGGTTCGAGTGGGAGGCATTAAACGCCACCCGAACCCGTCCGAGCATCCGAAATAGACTAGGGTTTTTTTACCCTATGTAATACGACGTCGTTTGTTATATGTATATATACTATCCATTTCGGTCAGCGCAGCCGAGCTCCCATTTCACTCTTCTCTCAAGTCTCAATCTCTCATCTCTCATCTCTCGTTCTCTCTTTCGCTATGGTCTTTGAATCTTACTCTCTAAGACTCTGAGTTCTCACTTCTCAAATCTCAGTTCTCTCAGTCTAATTCTCTCAGTTGTAGTCTGGTGGAAGCCCTATTCGGAGACTCGGAGACTCGGAGTAGCGACTAGTCTAGACTCTGGTGGAGTGGTAGAAGCCCTAGACCCTAGTCTGGTCACCGGACTCCGGTGGAACTGTGGAACGGTGGAATAGTGGATTCGAAGCCCTTTGTTCTCGAGGGATTAAATTTGAGAAACGAAGTAATTACTAAACCCTATTTACATTTTCGTTATAGATTATTGTGTATTTGTCTTCTTGATTAGGGTTTCTAATTTTTATGATTATGTGGACTGTGATACTTGTAAATCCATTGAGAAGTTCCGGATTGCATGTCACTAGTCCTTTGAGTGTGAATTTGTGAATTGTGTGATTAGGGTTTCTAATTTGTAACCTAATCTGTGGTGGAAGCCATACTGCCCTAGCCCATTGCCAGTGTGGAAGTGTGGAACTCAGGAACTGTGTGTGAAATACTGAAATCCATATAAATGTTAAGCATGATGGTATTCTTGTGGAAGCCATATAAATGTGGGAGTGTGTCTTGTACTCATGTGTGACTGAAATCCATATAAATGATGAGCATATAAAGTAGCATACATCTACTTAGCTTGAATGCCTGATTATGGATTTCATTGTAAATTGTAATTTGTAAGTTGTTAGTTGTAACTGTGAAAATGTGAAATTGTAAGTTTATGGATATGTGACCCTTAAATCATTTATGTGCAATTCTGCATACATGATGAAATGTTCAATTAACTGAATTCTGCCTGCTTAACACTTTAATTAATTGATACATGTGACAAAGCCCATTCTCTGTTGATGATTTTCAATGAGTGATTTCCCATTCTGTGTCACTGATACTTTCCCCTTTTTAGATGGAAAGTGTTAGTGGTGTTACTGGTGTATCTGGAACCCAACCTGAGTTGGAAGCACAAGCTGTAGAGACTGTTACTCCTCAGTCTCAGCAGCCTTTGCCTCCACCTGTTCCAAAGAAAAGGAAAGAGGTTGAATCCAGGGCTCCATGTTGGGATCACTTTGAAAAGATCAAAGACAGTGATGGCATTGTCATCAAAGGAAAATGTATATATTGTGCAAAAGTGTATTGCTGTGAGACCAAGAAACATGGGACTTCTTCTCTCAGACTTCATGTGGTAAACTGCCTTAAAAATCCTCACTCTAAGGAGACAAGGCAGTCCCTACTTACATTCCAACCTGCACCTTCTTCTGCTGGAACTCAAAGTAGTGAAGGAACTGAAGGGGTGTTGGGTACTTGGGTGTTTGATCAAGACTTGATAAGGAGAGCCTTAGCTGAGATGATTATTTTAGATGAACTTCCTTTTAGGATTGTTGAGGGACAGGGTTTTAGAAAGTTTGTTTTAGTTTGCTGTCCTAGGTTTAAAATCCCTTCAAGATGGACTATCAGTAGGGACATTTTCAAGATATTTTCTGATGAGAGGGTCAACTTGAAGAAGTTTTATAGGACTAGCAGTCAGAGGGTAAGTATCACAATTGATACTTAGACCTCAGTCCAGAGAATAAACTACATGTGCATAACTGCACATTTCATTGATAGTGAGTGGAAGCTGCAAAAGAAGATTATTTCATTTGTTCCTATATATTCCCACAAGGGGGAAAGTATTGCAAAGACTTTAGAGAGTTGTCTTTTGGACTGGGGTCTAAAATCAGTGTTTAGTGTGACAGTAGATAATGCTTCCAGCAATGACACTGCCCTAGGATTCTTGAAGAAGAAGTTGGGCTCTTGGGGTTGTACTGCTGTTAGGTGTAAGTATTTGCACATGAGGTGCATTGCTCACATTCTTAACTTGGTGGTACAAGATGGGTTGAAAGAATGTGACAGTTCTGTTAAGAAAGTCAGGGATGCTGTTAGGTATGTGAGGAGCTCACCTGCTAGGTTGCAGAAGTTTAAATCACTAGCTGATCTAATTGGGGTGGAAGCTAAGAATTCTCTGTGTCTAGATGTCCCTACAAGGTGGAATTCCACATATATGATGCTTAATACTGCATTATTGTTTCAGAAGGTATTTGAAGCCTATGATGATCATGACAGTTCATTTAAATCTGATTTGGGTGGAAGTGTACCTGATTTCTTAGATTGGGAATCCATTCAATCTTTGGTTATGATTCTGAAATCTTTTTATGAAATGACTTTTAGGATTTCTAGATCATTGTATGTGACTTCTAATACCTTTTTCTCTGAGATTTCTGATTTGTCTTGCTTGTTGAAAAATATGGAGGAAGCTACAGAAGATAGTGTTAAACTGATGGGTAAAAATATGAGGGCAAAATTTGATAAGTATTGGGGTGAGCCTGAAAAAATGAAATTTTTGATATTCTATGCAAATATCTTAGACCCCAGGGACAAAATTGAGTATATGCCCATTCAGTTTAACCAGTTATATGGTGAGGACAAGGGTAAAACAATGTTTGATAAGGTTATTGTTGGCCTTAAGGAGTTGTTTGAAGATTATGTTGCATGCTTCCCTGTCCAGTCTGTTGAACAATCTAAAAAATCTTTTCCCTCAATAACAATGTCTGATTCTGTTTCTGTTGGGAGACCTCAATCATTACTGAAATCTCAAATTAAGAAGCAAAAATTGGTGAGTGGGGATTTGTCTAGGAAAAAAACTGAGTTGGAAGTGTATCTCTCTGAGGTTATTGTGGATGAGGATGATTCATTTGACCTTCTAAGATGGTGGAAATAACAATCTGAAAGGTTCCCTGTCTTATCTAAAATGGCAAGGGATATTCTAGCTGTTCCAATATCAACTGTTGCTTCAGAATCAGCATTCAGTACAAGTGGAAGGGTACTTGATGCCTTTAGGAGTTCCCTAACTCCTAGAATTGTTGAGGCATTGGTGTGTGCACAGGATTGGCTAAGGTTAAGCAATCAACCAATCTCAATTGAAGAAAATATTGATGATGTTGAAAGGATTGAGAAAGGTATATACTTCTAACTACCATTTTATATCTGTTTAAATGTTTAATTGTTTAAGTTTTAATTTCCATTTTGTATTTGTACTGCAGAGTTGTGCAGCACATCCAGCACTGGAACTAGAATGCCTACAATTGTTGTATGTTTACAGTTTCCATTAATTTATTTTGAAATCTGAATTTGTGATTACTTATTTGATTTCATGATAAATTTATGCCTCTGTATCAGTGTATCATGTATGTGTATCAATGTCCCTCATGAGGCTGGGAAGTTGGAACTGGAACTGGAAAGTGCTCATGGCTAGGTAACATTTTAAATGTTGCTGCCATTGAGCTCAGGTATCAGTATAAGTACTGACTAAATGCCTAAATGTGACTTCTGACTTCTGACTCACTATACTTATAACTGTATAACTGTTCATTATTGTGCAATGATAATGCTTCCACCATGTTCTCTGAATATATAGAATTGGGTTTGGTATGTTGCCTATGAAGTATGGTGTATGCCATACTCATTGAGTAGTGTTCCCACAATCCTGAATTGATATGGAAAAAAAAAAACTATCTGAGCACTCTTTGAGTCTTTGCTATTTAAATATAATTCATTAGTTGTTCCAGTATAAGTATTATTGTGCTATGATGATGCTTCCACCATGTTCTCTGAATATATAGAATTGGGTTTGGTATGTTGCCTATGAAGTGTGGTGTTTATGCCATACTCATTGAGTAGTGTGCCCCCAATCCTAATTTGATATGGAAAAAAAGCTATCTGAGCACTCTTTTAGTCTTTTACAGTTTGTGTGATTGTGTCAATCCTAACTTGAAACGTTTTGAACTTATTGTGTTTTTATGTGTTCACTTATCAGGAAGAAGAATAGACTAATAGAGACATAGAGTACTCTATATTATATTAATCATATATTCATATATTACTTTTGGAGTTTTGAATTTCTGGCTTTCTTTTGCTCAATGGCTGAAACATGAAAGCCGAATGCTGATGTGCTGATTGGAGACTGATGTTGTTGCATGCTTGCCTGCTTGCCTTGGGAGTTTGGAGAAGATTGTTATATTTTGCTAATTTGCTATGAAGAATTAAAATTCTCATTACAAGTTTTAAATTTGTAACTTGTAAGTTGTAAGCTAATCTGCTGTAAATTTGTATGTTTTGAAGTTTCAGTACTAGCTTCTAAGTTCTAACTTGTAATTTTGTTAATTTGATTATATGTTTACAGTTTTATAAGTTTACTTATGTTATTTTTGCTGTTAAGTAGTTAATAATTACTAGTTAGTGGCTTTTGGTACTTAAGTAGTTCATTAGTTAGGTGTTCCATGAATTGAATATTTGATTTGTACATTCTTATAAAACTGAATTACCAAACGGATATCCGACCGATCCGATCCGATCCCATTCGAAAATAAAAATAACCGAACGGATAAGTCAAAAAAAAAACGGATAGGGTAGTCAAAATTGAAATCCGATATCCGACCAGGGGACTCTTTCCCCCATCCGAACCGTCCGATTCGTCCGACTGCACACCCCTACCCGTAGAGGCCGAGAGGTCGCCGGTGGGAGCCATCACCACCGCTCGCCACCGTCACAGCCGACCAGACAGAGGTCTCCCGCGTCTCCATCGACGCAAAGCACCAAACCGCTGTTGATCGTTACCCAGCACCACAGATTGATGGTGCAGATAAGAAAAAACGAAGGTTCATCGCTCAAGAAACCACCGCATCACCCGAGACGCGCCACCGTCGCCAGGATGCAGACCGGAGGGAAAAAAATAGCGGCAGTTCGACAAAAAAAAGGTATTGATGATTGTTTTTGTTCGAAAAAATATATACACATACAATCGATTGGATCTCCAGAGTTGTATAAAATGTATCCATTTGTTCACTACAAATTGCATGCCGAAAAAGAATCAGGTCTGTATTTTTTTCAAAAAAATTGTGTATGCCCGAAATATATCATTTCTTTCAAATTCGAAAAAACAATATGAATTTGTTGCATACTGGGAAAAAATATGCATATACATGAATTTTGTTTGTTTTATTATTTTTGAGAAACATACATGCTGAGAAAGAAAAAAAATTCTTATTCGAAGGTGTCGAAATTATTCTGGTTTTGAAAAAAAAAATCAAAATTTTGTTTTGTTTCTTGTCTTTTTTCGGTAGTAGAAACAATATCTTGCATATAATTCAATATAATCATATCCACAGATCCTTATATCCACAGATCCACAGAATACAAATATGCAAGTATTTTTAGCAATTCATGATGAAAAAAATGGCATGATATTTAGCCTATAAATATCCATAATGGAATTGAAATAATAGGCAATATGCAATAAGCAGGATGTCAATATCCATAATGGAATTGAAATAATAGGCAATATGCAATAAGCAGGATGTCGATAGATACTGGCAGATTCCTAGAAAAAAGTAATCATATCATCATGTGCATATATTCACGGAACATATACATAAAATTACCGTTCACCGGGGATTGAGCGGCTGATAACGTGTTGTAATGTTGTTGTTTGTGCCCGTTGGCCTATAGCTCCTAACCGGTGAGTTTCAAGATTGAATCAACAATAAGAAGTAATAGACAAAGAGAAGGGAGTGAGATGATTTCATTTCCATGGCTTCTTCTTACAAAAGGATTACACACATATATAATATAGAATAATAATGGCATACATAATGAGACATTAAAAATGTCTGTTACAAACGTTACAAAATAATGGCCACCATTAATATTTAATTACAACAGATCTTACATATTAAGTGTATATTGTCAAATGGAATTGTAGTCAAATTATAATGATACTTTAGTTGTGTTGTAATGAAATTAAAGTATGCAAGTCTCACATATATTGAGAGTATATTGTAAAATGAAACTGTATTTGGATAAGAATAATACTTTAATGGTGTTGTAGTGAAACTACATTATGTATAAAATGCAATTGAATAGTACATATGTCTCACATATTAAGCGCAAATTATGTCGTGGAAACGTGTTCACCATGCTGGTGAACACGGTCCCAAATGACATCATTTTTACCGAAGAAAAAAAAAATTTAGTTAATGTGCTGTTAACGGCGTTTTGCATTCTATGTTCAGATTATGAATTTATATTTATTAAATTATGAAATTTCTGTTATGACATTATGAATTTACAGTTATGTAATTATGAATTTTCTGTACATTCATAATCTCATAACAGAATATTCATAATCTCATAACAGAAAATTCATAATTTCATAACAGAAAATTCATATTCTCATAAAAGAAAATTCATAATTTCATAACTGCACATTCATAAATCCATGCCTGCACATTCATAAATTATGAGTGGTTAAGAAACTTGCGCGAAGAGAAAGTGAAACCGCAAAATGTGAATATGAAGAAGAAAAGTCACGCTGTTAATTAAAAAAAAAAAAGATTGGTGGAAGATAACAGTGCCCGTGGGCACCGTTACCGTTTGGGACCGTGTTCACCATGGATGGTGAACACGGTTCCATGACATAACGATTGCATATTAAGTGTATATTGTCAAACGAAACTATAGTTGAATTAAAATCAGGGCCGAATTTTGGACTGTGCAAGCTGCCCAACAGCCCAGGACCTCAAATTTTAGAGGACCCAATATTTAATTTTTACCTAGGTAGTTAAAAAATTAAAAAAAAAAAAATTGCAATTAATTTTTAAAAGACACCATGGAATAATGGTAGAAATGTGTATCTATAGTGTTTTATCTTAGAGGTCGAAGGTTTGAATCCTGCTCGGTGCTCCAACTTTGTGCACATCTTCCCCTTTTTTTTTTTTTTTTTTTTTTTTTAATCCTTTTGCTTTGCGCACACATTCCTTTCTTTTTTAATCCTTTTGCTTTGTGCATACATTCCTATTTTTTTTTTGTTATTTTTTAATAAATCATTTTGCCTTTCTCTTTGCACACAACAGCATTCTACCACCTTATTATTGTTGGAAAAATAGCATTAAAATGACATTTTAAGTGGCTATTTAGTGGTACAATTATCAGTGGGGTCCACTTCCGATTTGGATCGAGTCAAAGTGGATTTGGGTTCTTCGTAGTGAGACGAAGAGATTGATATATTGTACGCTCAAAACGGATAATGGGTGAAGTTGGAAAAATGAAGGGAAAAAGTGAGCTTTTGTCCCACATTGGTTTGGAAAGAGGATTTGACCCCCTTTTTATACAAGAGCTTTTTTAGAGCTTGTAGAATTGTATAGCATAGAGGCTCTCTCGCACGGGGGGGGGGGGGGGTGCAAATCAAATTCCGAGATTGAAAAAGGCTTGATTCAAGCCCGAGCTCGTGTGCGGCGGCACCTGCGGGCACGAATGTCGTCCGGAAACACTAGCCACTTGGCCTGTGAGGCCGAAACTGAAGTAGAAGTTAACTTGGTTAGTTTCGGCCAGAGAGGAAGTGTTTTCTCTCCTCAAAAACTCTGCTTCTACTCTTTTCTTAAGCCTAACTGTGTTCAAGGCTTTGCTCCGTTCGCCGGGTCCGTTCGTTTGGGTGCTCAAACGTCGAACCGTAGCGCGTTTTATCCTGGGAAACCTAGGCCACGACGCTCCTAGCACTTTTGGGAGGTAGCAAATAAGATTTTAAGGAAAGAGTGGTCTCTTGACTCACGCTAAAAACCCTTACCCAAACACAAGCCATCTTTCCTTCTTTCGGTTTTGGATTATGCTTCTAAGAAAAAATCCTCCTCTTCTGATTTAGTTTGGTTGGAATTATAATCTGTGGAT